AAACCATAGATCATGAATTGTTATATTTTATGGGATAAGTTTACCTCGAGAAGTTAATTTAGCTCACTCACGGTGGTTGATGGCAGGTGGGATGGGGTTTGAAGAGATCGTGATTTGGATCATATAATATCTTTGTATACTTTTGATGATATAAATGATGGGTGGGTAAATGATATGCAGCTGTGACTGTGGGATGATGATTCTCAACAATTATTCTTTCCAAAGATTACCAAACCCTGAAACTTGGAAATTAGGGTTTAGGGGATACTCCCCAATTCTTGTGACCAAAGTACGCATAGATATATTTTTTTCTCTCTCTCGATTGTAAAAATTCTGTGTGATTATTTTTCTTTCGAACGTCTTGATATATAGTTTTTGGTTTAGTTCTCTCTCACGGGCCGAACACCCAATAATATATAATTGTAAGTATTGTATAAATATATATTTTAAAATATTTAAAAATGAAATAAAATCATTTTTTAAATGTATATATTTATCTATAAAAATGAAAGAAGAAAAAACAAAAAATAAAGAACCAAACCTTAGTAAATAGATATGAATTTTGTAGAATCGAGAATATGAATACGAAAATAATCAAGTATCAATGAAGTGCCGATATATATATATATATATATATATACATAGAGAATGGTAGAAAGAGAACGTGGCTGGTTTGGGGCCTTTGGGTTTCAATGTTTCATCCTCACACAACATCAGAAGAAAGATGAAGCCGCCAAACGCATTCACACATTTCTTCTCTCTCTTCCTCTGCCATGGCCGTCTGTTTTGCTCCTTTCTCTCTTTCTGTCTGCAACTCCAGACATCCAACCGTCATTGTTCCTGTCGTGGCGCGAAGTTCCCGCGTTCAAGCCCGTTCTTCTTCTTCTTCTTCCACCGGCTCTTCCAATGGCACACTTCCCCTCGACCGCAGCAACAAAGCCTTCCCTGGTTCTCTCTCTCTCTCTCTTTGATTTGAGAGATTTGGACGTGATTAGGAGTATATTAGATCCGAAAACTAGAGATGTATAAGCGTGAGTTCTGAAGCCAATGTGGTTTATGTTTCCCTTTTTCTTTCCATTGTTTTTTTCTTTCATCTGAAAGCCAGCCATGATAGAGAGGCAATTTCCCAGAGATTTTTCTTGTTTTTTTGGTCGAAAAGTAAACGATTTCATTCTGCAGAGGTGCAAGATCAATATTCTGGACACAAATTCACCACCAACATCAAAATCTAAGCCGATTTTTTTTCTTATTGGGTAATAACAAAGCTGGCTCTTTAGCCCGAATTCGGGGTTTAGGGGCTGCATCATTGATGCAGAGTGCTTTTCTTGAATATTAGCGGCAAACCTGTTCATCTCCAAAACAAGAGTTTAAGACCCTTGTATCAATCGTTGTCAGATTCTGCACCAAACATGTTGCTTTTCTGTCTCAAATATTGAAAGAGAACAACAATAAGATCTCATCCATTACCCTTTCTCTGGTTTCCCCAAGTTTATCAGAATCCTTTCATTCTTGTTATGTCGAAGTTGAGCTGTTAAAAAAAACTTTCTTTTTTCTGTATGGTGGGTGTGTTCAGGAAAGCCTGAGGCAGATGTGGTTGTAATTGGAAGCGGGATAGGAGGATTGTGTTGCGGCTCGTTGTTGGCTAGGTACAACCAGGATGTTCTTGTTCTAGAGAGCCATGATCTCCCGGGAGGCGCTGCTCATTCTTTTGAGATTAAAGGTTACAAGTTCGATTCCGGCCCTTCTTTGTTTTCTGGGTTACAGTCACGTGGCCTCCAAGCAAACCCCCTTGCTCAAGTAAAGTAACCTCCTTTTTGCTTGGATCCTCGAGTGTACAAATATCTCTTCAAGTGATGTTTATCTGGTTCTGGTGTTGCTTATTACAGATAGATGGAGTTTTGTCTTGTTTAGATGATTGTTTCTTTTTTTTTTTATAAATAGATGATTGTTTCTTGATAAGCCTGTATTGTTTTAGTTAGTCTGTGGGGATTGTTTGTGCAGATCTAGACCCATACATGCGTTGATTTGTCGGCTTTAGACTAGAAAGATGGCACAGGTTGTCCCTTGGATGTCTTAGCAAAATAGAACGAGAGATAGTGTTAAGAAAGCGCCACTCTGATTCCTTTCAAGGCTTTTTTAACTTGGGATCGAATTTCATCGGTGTCTTGTCTGTGGAATTTCTCTTACTCCTTTCGGGCGATTGTGGTTCAGGTTCTGGATGCTCTAGGGGAATCACTTCCATGTACCAAGTATGATTCTTGGAAGGTATACATACCAGAAGGGGAGTTCTTGTCTCGCATTGGCCCCACAGATTTCTTTAAGGTAAGACGTTCTTCCTCGTCACGATGATGTTGGACTTGTTGCCAACAACTAAGTTTTCGCTTGTTACAACTAAGCTTGTTGGTACAACCGATTACACATAGAAGAGGGAACTTTTCTCTTGGGAGTTTTGCAAGGTGATTTAATTGATACATCTGCATCCGGGGTTTAGTAAGCTATCGGGTTTATATGAAGAAATGTGTGCTTGTAATTAGATTAACCCATGGCCTTCATGTCCATGTGTTACAATCTGAATGCCGATGAACTTTTCAGAAAACATTCTTCCTGGCTATAGCCACTTGCTTTGCTTAGCGCATTTTTCCTTCAGGATCTTGAGAAGTACGCTGGCCAGAACGCTGTCGAGGAGTGGAAGAAACTTCTTGTGGGTGCCTTCTTGTCTCTGTGAATGATTTCTAATGTATCTACTCATGAAAACAGAACCTACCATGAGGACATTACCCTCATCTGTTAATGAATATAAACCTGCAGGGAGCAATTCTACCCTTGTCCTCCGCTGCAATGGCTCTTCCACCGTTGTCTATTCGTGGGGATCTCGGTGTTCTCTCCACTGCTGCAGCTAGGTATGTATATATCTATATCAAGATTCAAGTAGCTGTCACTGTTTTCCGCTGCATGATTTAACCTGAAATTCTTTGTTTAGATACGCTCCTTCCCTCTTGAAATCTTTCCTCGAGATGGGACCTCAAGGAGCATTCGGCGCGACAAAGCTCCTCCGTCCGTTCTCCGAAATCATGGATTCTTTGGAGCTGAGAGACCCGTTTATACGGAACTGGGTCGATCTTCTCGCCTTCCTCCTTGCAGGGGTCAAATCTAATGGTATACTCTCAGCAGAGATGGTAACTATATCCTTTCAAAGGCTATTTTGATCAATAGAAATGCTTTTGAAAACATTCTTACGTTCATAACGAGAGGAAAAAAAGACTTGGGAGATTAATCATTGCTTTTCTCTTTCTTTCTATTCAGATATACATGTTTGCAGAATGGTATAAGCCGGGATGCACCTTGGAGTACCCCGTCGATGGCAGTGGTGCAGTGGTTGATGCCCTTGTTCGAGGCTTGCAGAAGTTCGGGGGACGGATTTCTCTCGGAAGTCATGTCCAGAGCATTGTCATCGAGAACGGTAGAGCCACCGGAGTAAAGCTAAGGAACGGCCAAGTGAGAAATCTTAAGGATTTCAGATTGAAAGTTTCGTTTTTATTTTTTCTATATATATTCCTCGGATGAGTATGAGCACAAAGTTATCAACGATGTTTTCTTCATTCAGTTTGTGAAAGCGAGAAAGGCCGTTGTCAGTAATGCGTCGATGTGGGACACGTTGAAACTGTTACCTGCAGAAGCTCTCCCGGAATCATACGTTCAGGGCGTCGAAACGACGCCTCAATGCGAGTCGTTCATGCATCTTCACCTGGGATTCGACGCAGAGGTGAGCATAAAACCCTTTTTCCTTAGTTTCAGATTTGGTTTTCGGGTTTTGCTTATGTGGAAGCGGATAGGGAATAGATGATGAGTTGGGGATTCATCATATCGTCGTGAACGACTGGGACCGAGGTGTGGATGCTGACCAAAACGTGGTTCTGATATCGGTCCCAAGTGTCTTAAGCCCGAACCTCGCTCCTCCGGGAAAACACGTCTTGCACGCATATACACCTGGAACCGAACCATTCGGATTATGGGAAGGCCTTGACCGGAGAAGCACTGAGTACAAGAACCTCAAAGCTCAACGCTCCGAGGTACGTACGCATACATGTATGCACACACGTGCGCGCGCACACACACACACATATCCTTAAAAGCTCAACGCTCCGAGGTACGTACGAATGCATGTATGCACACTCATGTATAGATCTTTCAAGATTTTACATGTTGTGATATATATAGAGTTATATATATATAGTTCTATTTCAAGATGATCTTCCGAGGTTTCTGACAATGAGGACGTTGATGAAGGTGGTGTGGAGAGCGGTGGAGAGGGCATTAGGGCCAGGGTTCAAGAGGGACAAGTGTGAAGTGAGTTTGGTTGGAACGCCGTTGACGCACCAGAGGTTTCTCAGGCGACACAGAGGCTCTTACGGACCCGCGATTGCGGCCGGGAAAGCTGCGTTTCCGGGTCACTCCTCTCCCATTCCTCAGCTTTTCTGCTGCGGCGATTCCACTTTTCCAGGTATCGGCGTTCCCGCCGTGGCCGCTAGCGGTGCGATTGTGGCCAACTCCCTTGTTTCCATTTCTAAGCACACCGAGCTTCTCGAAGCCATCGGTCTATAGAATCACAGTATAGATAGACAGATGTGTATGGATCGTTTATATTTAACTTGTCCCCTAAAAATATCCACATAGATAATCATGAAGCTGTTTAATCTACAATTTTTTATAACTATTCATTATCATTAAAATTTGCATGTTTATACAATTCGGAAATCAATTATATTTCGGTTCTTTATTTTTTTATTTAATTATTTTACTTTTATAAAAAAAATTATATTTGTTCGTTTTTTATATCGATACAATATATATTTTAGATTAAAGCAATATTTATTTTCTATAAAAAAAAATGTTTATTTTCCATTATTTTAATGTTTAATTTGTATTCATTTTATTTATTTTGGATTCAATTCTAGTTCATGTAATTTTAAAACAATCATATCAAGAAGAGTTTTAGATAGTGAATATCCTAATAGATAAATAAGTAAATAACATCAATTTAAATATATTTAAATTATTCGTATTAACTATTTAAATATAATTCTCTTAAGATAATGGGCTCAAGCCCAAATTAAAACATTTGAATGCCTGTTTTAGCGGGGCCCACTGGCAATTTCTGAGAAAACCCATGCACGGCGTCACGTACATAATAAAATTTTAGAAGCTAATTAAAAAAGGGGATCTGATATACACTATTGTATTAAAATGTACGGAACACAATTTAATACAACAGAACACATATTCATAATAATAAATCTATTCGAAACATCATAATTTAATTTCTATTTTTAGTAAAAAGATGGATTCGGATTTGGGTGAGGATACTTTATACTTTCTCATTTTACCATTCTAATTTCTACCACTCACACTTGAGAATACCATAATTTAATTTCATAAACACTTTATCAACATTTGTAATCCAGATATCATAAATATCATAGGTTGAGCCGTCTCATAGATTTGAGAGACATGTTCAATTATATACTTGTTGTTTTTTTATTATAATTTTTTAATTTAATTATTATTTAAAAACTTTAAATATATTATACAATAGATAAAATTTTATATTATATAAAAAATTAAACAGAAATTAGAAAAAATATATTATTTATTACAATAAATTTTTAAATAAATATATAAATTATTAATTTTATTTTAAAGAGTAATACAAATTAAAATCAAATTTATTGTTATGAAACTTTTGGTTAAGAAAATACTTTTTTATACTAATTTGTTTATTTTTAAAAATATATAGTGATTAAAAATTATTCACTAAAATTTATAATTTCTACAATATGAAATATCATTACAATTTAACAAAATTTAATCTTTTTAATTTTTAAAATTTATTATAGTTTTTCCTATTTTATTAAAGGGATAAACCCAAAAAAACCCTTCAACTATCTCATTTAGACCAAAAAAACCTTCTACTTAAAATTCATTATAAAAAAATCATCAACTATTAACTTTGAATAAAAAAGACCATCAACTATATAAATTGATATATACTCAATTTACATTTTATTTTAAAAAAAAATACATATATTATCTCTTACATTTATAACTAATAAAATATACACAATTTTCAACCTCTCAAATATTAATAAATGATAAAATTTTAAAGGGATAATTCCATTTAAAACTCTGTACTTTTCTCTCGTCGCAATTTAAACCCTATACTTTTTTTTTATCCAAAAAAACATTGTACTTTTAAAAATTGGCAATTAAAACTCTATACTTTTAAAAATTGGCAAATAAAACCCTGAACGAAAAAATATATTATTTAATGCTGACATGGCATCCTAGTCATCTGCCACATCATCAATCCCTAATATTTAATAATATTAATTAATATAAAATAAAAATAAAATAATAAAAATAAAAATAAAATTTTAAAAATTATACACATACATATATAATGAAATGATATACATATATACACATATATAAACATATTTATATATATACACACATATATATAATACATATATATATATATATATGTTTTATATGCATATTTTTTAGGGAAAAATACATATATAACACATACATATAAAACATATAATAATTATACACATATATAGATATATATGTATCATATGTATATATATGTATATATGTATATATAAATATATTTATATATGTATATAATTTTAAAATTTTTATAAACATGTTTATATATGTGTATAATTTTATGAATATATATAATTTTTAAAATTTTATTTTTATTTTTATTATTTTATTTTTATTTTATATTAATTAATATTATTAAATATTAGGGATTGATGATGTGGCAGATAACTAGGATGTCATGTCAGCATTAAATAATATTGTTTTTCGTTCAGGGTTTTATTTGCTAATTTTTAAAAGTATAGAGTTTTAATTGCCAATTTTTAAAAGTACAATGTTTTTTTGGATAAAAAAAAAGTATAGGGTTTAAATTGAGACGTGAGAAAAGTACAGAGTTTTAAATGGAATTATCCCAATTTTAAATATAGAACGGATCATCACCATGGTCAAGTCAAAAGTTTGACCATTACGTCACCTGCTGACCTATGCATAACATAAGTTGAACATGGCCGTTTCCTAACGTCCATAAAATATGAATAAGAGGTCAACGCAGATTCAAAAGACAAAATCAGTAATAGTAATTTAAATTATAATTTTTAAAAATTTTAATTTTTAGATATAAACAACATTATACTGAAAAAATAAAATAAAAAATCTAAAAGCCATAACTCTCGTAATCACAAATCATATTGAGCCAATTGATTTTTGTCTATAAAAGGTCCGACTGACAACCGTTTTTTCTCTATCTCAGCAATAACTATAAGCAAATGGAGAGACATTCCTTTTGTTGCAAACAGAAATTTATAAGTAGAGGAATCATTAAGTATCGCCATCGATGCAGGGCTTCCTTTTGGGCACCCTCGGTGCTTGTCCTTCTCTTTCTCCCACTGCTATGTCTGTTTATCTCTTTTGTCCTCCACATCTCATCAACGCCCAGATCTTCGCCGCCGCCGCAGGTGTTCATAAACTTCCGTGGAGAAGATCTTCGCTACGGCTTCGTCAGCCACCTCGAAGAAGCTTTGAAGAGACGTCATATCAACTTCTTCATCGACAAACACGAAGAGAGAGGAAAAGATCTGGAAACCCTCTTCAAGAGGATCGAAGAATCGTCCATCGCTCTCGCCATTTTCTCCAGGAGGTATGCCGAATCGGGGTGGTGCTTGGACGAGCTCGTTAAGATGATGGAGTGCGTGGAGATGAAGAGGCTGCGTGTAATTCCCATCTTCATCAAGGTCGAGCCCAGAGACGTGAGGGAGCAGAAGGGAGATTTCGGCACAAGGTTCTGGAAACTTGCCAGGTCCTCTCGGGGTGTACAGATCATGAAATGGAAACATGCTTTGTGTTCAGTCACCAACAAGATGGGCTTGACTCTTGGCGAAAAGCGGTACCCTCTCTTGCCTTTTTTCCGTCTCTCCTTCGTCGCTTAATTAAGACCAGCAGATTCATCGTCATGAATTATGATCACGAGATTGCAAAGATTGGCAAGAAGAAGAAGAACTCTCTCTTGCCTTTTTTTTTTTATTTCTTAAAACAATCAAAGTTTGACCTAACATGAACAACTTTCGCCTGGCAACGCCGGTCTCGTCACAAAACCCTAGAACAAGTTCTTGATCGAAGAATTGATCTGCAGCCCTATTCTACAAGCAGCAGTAAAAAATCTGTTTAGATTCAGATTTCAGAATACTGAATTTGGGCAATTAAAGAACTGAATTTAGGGTTCGCCTCGTTAAAACATTGTGCTTACGGGTTTTTGCAGCTACGAGAATGATTTCATAGAAGAAATCGTTGTGGAGATTGAGAGAATGCTAAATGCGAAATGGAAAAAGGTGTTGTATATATGATGAGGATCCTCACATGGAAAAGAAAAACCAGCTAGTTCTAGTGTAACTATATGTATATCCACAACAAGCCAAAGGGTTTCTATTTAAAAACCTGAGTGTGTGTCCATTAATGTTGACTTTGATGATTCGAATTTAGAAGAATAGTAATAATTATATACGCTTGTTATAGAGTACCAATAATTGGTACATAAAACGATGAAAAGAAACATCATTTTACAATATTATTAGACTTTGAATTTTATATGGCTAAAATTTTCTTAAATTTTCGTTTTTATTTAGTGATAAAACCAACACTTGCAATTTTTATAAAAATAGTTCAGATTTTACTTATCTCTTTTTTGTAACGTTTTATTGATTTAAACATTGGCTAAAATGTTGTTTCATAGATTTTTTTCATATAAAAAAAGGCACCATTAATTTTACCCCTTGCATCCATATAAAAAATGGTGCAAATTTTGGCCCTTTTACATTCCTTAGAATGGGAGAATTTCTCATTAATATCTTACTAACATATACACTTGTTTATACACATACATATAGACAATACAATATATGGGCAACAAAACATGGGTAACAACTATATTCCTAAAATTTCTAATTTTATCTTTAATTAACTCAACAGTATTAATGAAAACGTGATTTAATGATGGTATACATGGTTTTTTTTTAAAAAAAAAAATTGAGAAGAAATCTAAAAGACATTTATTCAGAAAAAGATGGAGGGCGTAACTTTTTAATTTATATCTTAAAATTTGATTTATGTGACTACTTTTAAAAAAATCCACGTACATAGGAGTAGGTCCACCCTAGAGGTAAGATGAGATGAACCGGCCGGTTTGAACCTCCAAATTAGGTACTGATTATGGGACCATAATATTTTTTTCTTTTGATAATGGAGCGTCCTGGGTCGGAGCCCAGACTAATCTCCGAATTGGGAGCAAGCCATGTGCTTTGAAATATTCGCTCCCCTCCCCACCCTGGAGCTCGAACTTGGGGCGTATGAGACCATAATATTGCTATATAGAAACCCTTACTTCAGTTCTTTCTATTCGTGGGAGCGTGTAACTAAGAAAGACATTTTCTACAACTATTGAATATAATTCAATATTCAAAAGATTAATTTTATCAATTAAATATAATATTCGATTTACCACTCCAAAATCTCATTCTCTTCGTCTATACAATATCATTATTCTATTGTTACAAAAAGAAAAAAAATATATAATATTTTTTCTATTATTATGTTGAATACGTCTTTCTAACTTAGACGCCCTCACGTACTCATTTTCTAGTTCAAATATCCGAACGTGCAAACGTTACAAGTCAGAAGTTTTTATGGCCGAATGATTATAAAAGCATCCAACAAACAATTTTAGTAAACTTCGGTGAAGATTTTCATTGTGGGCATCGTCTCTTCTTTCTCTTTAATTAGTTAGTCCTTTCCACTGTATGCGTTTCCTCTATGGCTATACGTCGGCCACCTCATCATATATAGTTTCTTGTTCTTTGTTTTAGGATGACAATGAGGAAAACTCAGAGTACATCTCTCCCATGCTAACCTTTTAATATGGACGGTGCATTTGCCAAGACGTCGACAAGATCCGAAGAACCGATCTGGGCGATGGAGAAGGGAAGATTTGGGAATGCTATAGCGTTCAAGATCCAAGAAACTCATGGATATGAAGTAAGTACAAGGTCGCGGCCGAGCATCGTGAGAAAAAGAGAAGGGAATGGTTGGTGAAGGGTTCTTGAAACGTTCAACAACGTTCAAGTATATACACACGGTAAGGGTTTACAAGATCGATGAGGTATCAATTGAATTTTTTTTTTTCATAATATTATGTTTATTGATGATTCATAGGGATACAAGCTCATCTGTTCGAATACATTTCGGCGGGAATACGAATGTATGACACTCCCATACAAGATATATATACATTTGCATGGACACCATCTGCGTGCGCTTGATGACGTCAGCAACCCATACACAAATTCAAGCGTACACACACTTATTATCACTCGAGTTTTCTGGATTATTTTCTTATTGGGGAGGGAGGAGACTCATGCCGTAGGCGCTAGATCGAGGCCTTTCTCTTATGGAATGGCGTTAAGCGCTCTCTCAACCTCCATGACAATTTTCTTGATAAAATCCGACTCAGAGCTGCCGAAAAGGAATCAGAAAAACCAATTAATATAATATCATTTTAGAGTAATTAGAAATAAAACCTCCTTTCCATGCAAAATAAAAAAAGGGTTTTACGAATTAAGTTCATTTATAGAGCTTAGAGAGACGAGTTTAAAGAATTCCGAGATTTGATTTTATGAGTTTGAGAGAACCGAGTTCACAAAATTATAGTGATAGAGTCATCAAAGATTTGAAATAAGAGAGGATGTAATTTCGTAAAACAGAAGAATAAAAAATAAATAGTAAATTCGGTGTTATGAACCCTTTGTAAGCTAACATCTCATTAAAAACTTTAATAAGATAGCTTTACATTTGACATTTCGGTATTAATTATAGGGTTTAGGCTTCAGTTTAGGGTTTAGTTTTAACGTTAGTTTTGGCTTTTAATAGTTAGGTTGAATTTTTCTTCCTTGAATTATATTGTAATATTTATTTATTTTTTTGTTAGTTGATAATTTCCTCGAAAATTAACAACGGAATGGTGAAAACAGTTGAACTGAAACAGTGAAATTCGATTGAATGGTTTTTTTTTTTAAATCTTTTTAGTATTTGCTTCCAAAACCGCGAATTCTCATCGATTTTTTATTTAAATTTGTAGATTATAAATTTGTATATATTTTTAATTTCCCCTTTATATATATATATCATATTGATATTGATTTTAATTATGCTTTTATATTACATATTATTTTTAATTCGGGATCCAAATCTTCAAAAAAATTGTTTGCATGTGAATATATGTGGTTTGAGATTGTGACGTTGAGTCGAGATAGAGAAGAGTATTTCTAATTCGTTTAAGAAAAGGGATATTGGATTGTAACGAATTCAAAATCAGTGGCGAGTTTTGTCGGAAAGAAGAGACCAAATATATATGGAAATGAATTCGTATTAGACTAGTATGTAAGTAAACTATACCAATATTAATTGAAACTGCACGATTTTGTTAAACTACGTTTTCAGTCAGGTTTTTATTTCGTTATTTGGACGTATTTTTTATTTAGTTAATTTGAGAAAATAGGATATTTTCATAATTAGATAATATTTTAGAATACTTAGGGATGTATTCAGGCAGAATTGTAAATCCCATAGTTTAATTATATTTCGTTAATTTTGCCTCGTGTGTCTCCCGTAGAAAGGACGAGTGATTTGATTAAAATAATAAAGTATTATTGGTTTTTGGTGAAATTGTTTGGACTGATCCTCGTTAGGGTTTCAACTCTAACATATATTCTTACAATATTTTCACATCGATGGAAAACCCATTTGCCTATATCCTCTCGGATTATACGTACCTATCCTCGATCGACGATTAACATAAAATAAAACCCTAACGCATAATCCAAACCCTAACGTATCGAAATGAGCTATCCGTCGAATAATCGGATCGTACCTCACTCCCACATACAAAAAAGAAAATATTGAAAAATACGAAGAGTTTCGCTTTTTATAGAGTCTAGATATATTAGTATATCTCTTATATATCTAGATTGGATTTATATATTTTGTTTATTAGGAAAAGAATTAGGAGTTCTAATGATAAGAAACTATTTTGTATATTTAAACTCTCGTTCGATCATCGATAATACAACAAGGTTTTATTGCGCAAATCTTGACAGAAAGAGTACCTGTTCTTGCCCAACTCCAGGCCGAACTTCCCCGAAATCGACTCCAAAGCTTTCATCCATCTCTTGGTTCTTTTACGCCCATCTTTCTTTGCCCTCTTCCGGAAATTGTCGCCAAACCTTCCCGTCAGTTGTTTCAAGTCGCATGTTTCCACATTGTAGAAGATGGGGATGGCCTCGAGCTTCCCCATTTCCACGCGCTCGTTGATCTTTGCGAGCTCGTTCAGGCACCAACGGGACCGCGCGAATCTCCTGGAGAAGATCACGATCGCGATCCTCGACTCTTTGATCCTCGTGAATAGGTGCTTGAGATCCTTGCCCCTCAGTTCGTGTTCGTCGATGAAGAAATCGATCCCTCGCCGTCTGAACGCATCAAAGAGGTGGCTGGAGAAGCGGAGGCGAAGCTCCTTTCCACGGAAACTGATGAACACTTGCGGAAGCTTTTTACGGATCCGGCGATTCGGGCACATGATGCTGACAAAATTAGGAGAGAAGATGATTCGGAAATTAAATCGATATATGCTTTTCACCAATGGAAACAGGTATTATATAGGCCGCTGAAACTCCAATATGATACATCGGTATCGCACGTTTGATCCTTTTCTTAAATTTTTTAATGGGAGCCAGAGAATGTCAGAAAATTCAAAAAGGAAATGAAAGTGTATATATATATATATGGTGCACATTCAGCTATACGTTATGTTTCAGTTTTAATTTTAATTTCGACCAATTCTATTCGATTATATTATGTTTTCACTGAAAAAAAAGTTATTTTCTAACAAGGATTTCGTTTCTTCGTAATTTTATCAATACGATAATAGTAAAATTATTACTTTAATTTTAGATACGGCTATATATTATTTCATTTAACTAAATTCAATTTTCTCATTCCCACGTAGAGAGAAAAGACCATTTTTTACATAAAAAATAAAAATATTTATTACAGACATAGCGAAAGAGATCTAAAATATAGGAACCTAGATCGGAGATAGAAACCTACTCCAACTCCTAAAATGATTCGGATTGATTATAAGTTTATTAAATAAATGAACTGAATCCATATTCCAGATAGAACCCAAAATGAATTTTTGACAACAATACAAATATGGAATGAAAATGATTTTTTTAGAACATATATTTTTTCATGAAAATCGAATTTAATCGAAATCGAATTGAACAGTCAACATATAAATTAAATAGATATAATTATTTAAAACAAATGGGAAACTTTCCTATATATCCTACATTTAAAAAAATCAATAAAATATAAACAAATAAAGAACCTAAAATATCTATCTCATAAAATTTTGAAATAAACATCCAAGTGGCCACCGGGTGGCCAAGTGAGTGATGAGGTCAAGTGAGAGCACAGATGTTTTCCATATTCAAATCCCATTGGACCAAATATTATAAAAAAAAATATTGAAATAAATATTTCTACGTTATATAGTATCATATTATTGTTATCGTATGAGATCTATAAGGTACATTATTTGTGAAGAAAAGAAGTTGCACGCTATCCAAATGCGCATTAACATTTTCAACATAGTAAATTGCTAAGTAGAAAACGATAGTCAATTAAAACATAATAACATTATTATCCGTAAAGCTTAATTAGATACACTTACAGGCTTATGATATCGTTAGCTTCTTGCGATTCTCCTTTGATTGTGGATTTGGATTTGACCGACGGTTAATAGAGATTTTTGAGATTGATTAACTCGTATTATGGATAGAAAATGCATTATAGCACCAAAAGCATCACATTTTAAAACCAAAATATAACTAAAACACCATCACACTCGGGTTATGATGAACAATTCAAAAAAGAAACCCCATAATCTTTCAATAACAAATCGCAGAACAGAAGAAGAATGGTCCATTTTTTGCGAATCGGAATCAAGCTTGAACCCTACCAAAGAACTTGGACTTCTCCTGGGTGGTCTGGAACCGACCATGCCCAAACTTGGAAGATGTGTCTATGAACTTGAGCTTGATCTCCTCCAATGCAACCCTCGACGTCTGCTGAATCAACGACTGTCTCAGAGTCACCACTCGTTTCTTGGGCCCCACGCAACCTCCCTTGATCAGCAAATAGTCTTCCTTCACCACCCCATAGTGAGGAAACCCTCCCATCGGCGTAATGTCTTTCTCGGTCCTGGTTATCAAAAACAACAAATATAAGACCTGGAAATTCAAGAAAGATCCGAAGCCGAGTTCGGGTGCCAGCGAGTTTCGTTTCAGGTTTAAACGCAGCCCATCTCTAAATTGAAGTTTACCTGTCGAATTCAGTCATGGCCAAGTGAGACTCTTGTCCAGATTTCCCCATCCGGTAAACTTTCTTGTTCATCTCCGTCCGATGGTGGTATCCGTTTTGCCCGGCCCTGGCGACGGTGAAAGAAACCCTAGCTGGATGCCAAGCTCCGATACATGCCACCTTGCGAAGACCACGGTGGGTCTTCCTCGGAAGACGGGTCACACCCCACCTCGTGACAACACCTTCATAACCTTTACCTTTCGTCACACCGATTATGTCAATCATCTCATCCTTCTGGAAGACTGCATCAACTGGAATCTGCTTCTCAAAGAAACTGTAGGCATAGTCCACCTTCTTGGCTACATCGCCACCATTGATCTGAATCTCCATCAAGTGAGCCTTCTTCTGTTTCAGCCCTTTCATTTTCCGGATCTAACAAAGCCAAGGCATCAAAATGCAATATGAGTACAATACAATTGGCAGATTAAATATCAGGAATTTAGGAGAATACAACTAACGGGTTAATCAGAAAGATACCTGGGTGTGAGCAAGAACCCGGATAACGGTGCAGTATTTCTTCAACTTCTCCAATTGAGCCTGGATGTCTTTCTTACCCTCATCAGTTTCGTACTTCTTTGAGTACTTGGTGAAAGCCTTCTTCTTCGACTTGCACCAGTTCTTGTAAAACCTCCTCCTCAACTCTTCGCTCAAATGCTGAGCCCACACGGTGCCTAGTGTGCGGAGTCCACGGGGCGTTTTCACATAGCCCACAACACCAACCACTACCATCGGTGGTGTCTCAACCACAGTGACAGCTTCACATGTTTCCTTCTTGTGGAGCTCTGGCAGGTAAATATGAAAGGGATTAGGCAAAAAAAGCTTGAGCAAGAACACCGATTCTAGGTTTCAAGTGGTGAATAAAATTAACAAAAAGAGATATAAGAACAGACTTGATCCAGGTTTTTCAACTTCTCTCACGATATGAGTCATCCCGGCTTTGTATCCTAGGAAAGCAGTGAATCTGCATGGCTTTGTAGGATCATCCTTGGGGAAGGCCTTCACTGAAATGTCAGAAAACAAGAAACAAGCATATGTTACATCTGACACCACATGCCATCTCGACTAGACATGGAGAACAGACACCAATGCCGCAACTAGTCTATTATTAAGACCAAAACATACCCCCCAACATAGCATATGACAGAATAATGTCAGGTATCAATTACAAAAGGAACGAGCATCACACTAGATCACCCAAAACTCCATGCAACAACCCATTTAATCACACCCGTTCATCTTACCAACTTTTAAATGACAGAATCAGACAACAGCATATTACAAGTAACAACACAGAACACAGATCACCCTAAAATACAAAGGGACAATTCTATATGTATATACGATTGTATGTCTAGTAGCACAATTACCTTTCCCACGGTGTCTAGACGCTCGTTTCCTTGGAAGGAAACCCAAAGAACCATGTCTTGGATGCTCAAACTTCCTGTGAGACATACTTCCAAAAAAAAAAGAACCCTGCAAAACCAGATGTCTTTTATCCACAGAGACTGACACCGAATCCAATCTGATTTTATACATCACTCAAGCAAATAACATGTCACAACTAAAACAGAGCAGAACAAAAAACTTTCAAAGCTTGAAAGCCACAGATCTACGGTGTTATTAACAAACTAATTTGTCTGGAAAACGACTTAAGAACTAAACCAAATGAAATCAGACCAATGAACAACACTGAAGATACAGATCCACCAAGTAACCAGTTTGGTATTTTGATCAATTCAAGAGTATGACAGGAAATGTTCCCCCGACCAAAGGCCTATGGCATCATTATGACGCCAATTCTCAAGCTCATCGGTGTTTCTTGCCGGAAACCATTTCTAGTTTCTAGCAAAAGAGCCGCTCCGAGACTCCAGCCTTGATTGATTACTCACCACTTTACGGGGGGTACCATTTCAATATCACACCCAGATGACAAAAGTACCAAAACGAGGTTTAATCTAAAATCTCGTTTTAAAAATTTCCAAGCAGCTAGAAAGCATGAAAATCATGATGCAACTGGAATCTGTAAACATATAAACATTGAATTCTAACAGGTATATGGATGCTAAAATCACATAATGCAGAAACCCGACAAGAAGCATGTGGTAATGAAACAAAACAAATCGAAACAGTCTGCTGCCAAGAATGTCCAAACTCAGCAAACCTCGAATCCAGATCCAAAACAAACACAAACACAAACACAAAACCACAAAAAAAGGTTAGAAGATAATGATAACAATAGAACTCAGTCGTCTTGTCTCTGACTCTGGAACTTCCTTGGGCTGAAAAATCGAAACGAGAATACCTTACGCTAAAAGCAGAGGAAGAGAAGGAGATAGAACAACGGAGCCGTAGGTTTGTGCCGCTAAGAAACCCTAGTTCGAAGCTTTGTGTTAGTTCATTTATATAGTGTCGTAACGGTTAGGGTTGGAATGCAACAGAGTGCCCTCGGCGTCGAGATTTTAAAATTTTCGGCCCAGCCTGGCCCATGAAGAAAGTTTGGCCCAATTAACATTTTCGGTTTTTTCCTCTCTTTTTAATTTTTAAAATTATTTCGCTCAAAAATACTTTATGAATGAAATTATGTTAATAGAAACCATATTTTTCCAACCATAAAAACTTAAAATAATAACAACTTTTAATCATATCGGAATTTAATCCGAAATCGGGGAATGCGTAATGAGCCATTTAGAAAATTCGATAGATAATAATTGATTCACGGTGTCAAGGGAAAATAGTATTTGATTCAAATTCATTATGATAGTGTGTATATAAATTAAATAAGGACTATATCAATAAATCTAATGGTGACTCCATAAATACATTTTAATGGTAATTTCATTAGTATACGTATAAAAACTATATATATAATTAAAAAAAAATCAATATATTGAAGTCTCATCCCAATGGCCCAACGATCCGTTCCGCATAGTTTGGAGAAATAAATGTCCGATCAAAAGAAGCGAGAATTAGAGTATAAACGTTACGTGAGATTCTTCCGGAAGAATTATTGGAGGATTTTCGAAGTTTTTAGTATAAATCCATTATTAGTTTTCCATAAACTCGGGTATTTTAAACTTAATGTAATTATTTAACCAAGGAAAAAACTTAATGTAAAAAATATTTAATGATTTAAAATAATTGAAAAAGTTTATTAATAGACGATTATTTAAAAAAAAATCTTAGATAAATATAATTATTTTTTATAAATTTGTGTATTAGTATGTGATTTTCCTAAAATAATTAATTGAAAGTGGCGCTTTTTAAAACAAATAAAAATTAACGGGTCAGCAAAAACAAAACAGGAGAGCACAATGTGCATTTGCAAGACAGAAGCAGCCAAACCTAAATCCAACGGTTTACGTTCTCTATTATTTCCAAAGCTAAACGTAAATCTCAGCCGTCCGATTATTTCCTTTCCACTCCAGCGGCCCAAGACTTATAAACGCTCCCCGCTCTACAGCCTCACTCATACTCTTCGCCTGATTAAAAAAAAATTCCTTTTTTTCCAATTCTACAATCTGTTCTCCGGTCGGTGAATTCGGTTTCCGGCGTGCGTTTATTCCCAGGTTTTGTTCTTCTTCTTCTTGGGTTTCTGGGTTTCTGTTCGTCATTGATGATTATCTTTGCCTCGTCGCCGGTTGAATTTCGTATTCTTCTGCACAATTTCATCATAGTTTTTTCGCTCGATTCAAATTCTGGTATCTATTTGTTGCTTTTCTTGTAAAGACAGTGATGTAGAAACTGCTGCTGAAGTAAAGGATATGTTTTTGTGCGGTTGTAGAGATTTCAGAACAAAACCCTTTTTTTTTCTTTTTCCTCCAAAGTTTGAGTTTTTTTTTTGTCTTTGATTCGAGAACCCAACTGGCGACTCTGGTTTTGAACTTTCCTATTTTGGCTTGATGGATGTTTGCGTGTAATCTTTGTCCTGTTGAACTTTCCAATTTTGACATTGTAATTCTTTAGACACATGCCTAACAAATACAGGCAAGAGAGTCGATGTCTAGCCGAAAGCCTATCATAAATTCAAAATCTACTAGATGCTGTTCTTTCTTTCTCTGTATGTGCTATGTGATGTGAACTCGGTGTTTATTTCTCGTTGTGTTATGGACCTTTTTTGAAAGGAAAAGACATGTCCTCGTAGTTGTAAAAGATTGTAGATTGCTGCATTTTCCATACCACCACCCTTTTACTTGTCTCTGAACTGTTCTTGTATTTGGGTTCTCCCGTTTAGGGTTCGCAGTGGATCCTGAAGATTTATAATGGATTCTAAGAGTAAAGGTACAGATTATATCCTTTTGTGATTCACTTTCTTTAATGGCTGTTTGGCATGAGATGAGGTTTACTGTATTTAGAATTGCCAAGTTCACTAGCAGAAAGAAATTAAGAATGTGTTTTATCCGTCTGAATTTTTTTTATTCGGGTGAAAGTAGCTGTGTGGTTGTGAAGATCATGTTCCTTCTTTACATTTTTCTTCCATTGCCGTCAAAATATAGGTTTCTTGATTGGTAAACTGTTATAGAACATAAAATGTTGGAAAAGATGGTTTATATGATCTGTGGACACTTTACACAATTTCATAATAGCCAAATCATGTTTTGGTCTAAAAGTTGGTTTAAATTCCTGTCTTGGACTGGTCATTGAGTTTGTGTTTCGAGTTCTTTGTTAAAGAAGGTGTTTTTATTTGCTTACCAAATTTCTTCTCCCTTTAATCATAATTCTAGCTGAGGATGCAGTTGCTGGAATTGAACCCGAGACTGATACTAAGACAATGAAACGGGATATGGTATCAATATTATCTTAGCCATACTTCTTATGTCAATTTCATTATATTTCTCAATGATGTATATAATATTTTGTTTGTTATCTTCGCAGTCTCCATCGACTGATGGCACAGATCGTAAAGCTACAGCCCCCGTCACTGCTTCAGTCAGTGTTACTACTTCGGCTAATGGTAAGACTAGTTTTTGAGAGCTTACAGTTTTATAGTATTAGTGCCCACTGCCCGGGCTTCATTCTTATGCAGTTCACAAAATAATTCGTTCCCCCTTATTTTTCTGTTTGCATAGTTGTTTTTATTCTCAAACATCGTTTTTTTACATGCTTTCGCAGGATCTAGTGTTGTGTTTCCTCATCAAAATGGCAGTTCTCAGGTCAGTGTTGGGGGATTCCCTGAAAGTTTAATTTCGTATGATCTGATGTTCACTCAGTTCCATCAGTTTTCGCCCTAATCTCGCTGGCTGTAATTTCATCATATGGCATTGCTAAAACCTGTTTTATGGGCCAATGACAGGGAAGTCATTTGAATAATGATTCATACACGAATTATATGGCTAGGAATAACCCGTACATGAATGGATCATATATGGGATATGATGGGCAGCCATATGATTCGCCATATGGCCATGAAGCCTGTCATTCACGGGATTTGAGGTATATGGAGAATCCGATATCGGGTCCTCAAAATTCCAATAGGTCTACTCCTGCAAGGACAAATGCAAGTGGTGCTGTTAGACTTCCCTTTAATTCTCATCCACGGGCTTTCGGACTGCAAAATAAGGTATCTAAAAACATCAAAATTTCATCCAACTTGAGGCTCCTTTTCATTTTCGAGGTCTGATGAAAGTTTCGATTTTTGGGCGGGAATTTTGATGGGAAAATCGAGTTATTGCGAGGAATAGATCGATTGAGCGTTTGTTGTTGTGTGAAATTTTTGATTCAAATGTTTGATTATGGTTTTTTGAAGGGAAAACTAGCAGCAGGACATTTCCCGAGATTTTCCAGCCCGAAGCAAGGTCATGTTCCGTATAATGATTACGTGAACGAGAACTCAAATGGTAATTTCTGGGTTCAGAAACATCATTACTCGAAACCCGACAAAAATGAAAAATCCGATGATGCAGCAGTTGAACTAACCGTCGGTCCAAGGACCAATGGAAAGAATCCTCCTTCCGAATCGTCGAGCAAGAAAGACAATCTGTTTGGATTGACAATCCGTCGAGAATTGTTCAACCTCCCCGATTTTCAGACAGAGTACGAGGATGCCAAATTTTATGTCATCAAGTCTTATAGCGAAGATGACATTCACAAGAGTATCAAATATTCTGTATGGTCAAGTACACCAAACGGAAACAAGAAGCTCGATGCAGCTTTCCGTGAAGCCGAAGAAAAATCACGTGGGGACGGGAAGAATCGTCCGGTCTTCCTTTTCTTCTCGGTAAGCTTCTTTTTTTTTGGTTATTTATTCTCTTTTTGCCATCCTTAATCCTTCCAATATCATCAGGCAAAGAATCTGTTATAATCTACAGTGTCATTCCTTTGGTTCGTGGTTCATTGCAATCACTTGCTTAGTGTCTCGTCTATGGCTGGAAAAAAACCTTGAATTTCGGGTACCCGACTAAAATTACGGTTTGAATCCGGATTCGGGTTCGAGACAAATATTACTTGCAGTACCCGAATGAACAATAAAAGTACGTTATTTTTCCTAAGTTTCAAATAAATTGCATATAAGCTTTACGTTCTAAATTGAAATCTCTCAAAATTTCGGATTGGTTCGAGTAACCAAAAAATTTCGGATATCTGATCCAATTCGATCCCTAGTATATTAATACATATTTTGATTATAATTTTGAAATTTCGTATTTGAACTTTGGGTTCGGACCAAGATATCTCCAAGATCGGGTAATATCTTGAGAGACCTAAGACATTCGAGTTTTGTTGACCTGAAAATCTCGGATACTCGACTTTGTACCCACCCCAAGTGACTCTCAACATACTCATGCTTGGTTTTCTGTCTCATTTGTTTAGGTGAATGCAAGTAGACAATTCGTCGGGTTAGCTGAGATGGTCGGATATGTAGACTTTGATAAAGACCTCGACTTTTGGCAAGTGGATAAGTGGATCGGCTTTTTCCCCGTACAATGGCATATCGTTAAGGACATTCCCAACCGTGAACTGCGCCATATCACCCTCGACAACAACGAGGACAAGCCAGTAACTCATACCAGGGATACCCACGAGGTACTTTGACATTCCATCGCTTTGCTTTTTTTCGTTTCTCTTTGTGACTAAATCTCGAATATCGACTTTTTACGTGCGGGATTCTAAAAAAATGGTTTTCACGTATGTAATTTTTTTTTGACCTTCTGATTAATGACGTAGATAAAACTTAGAGAAGGTCTCCGAATGCTTACGATATTCAAGAAATATTCTGCGGGAACGTCATTGTTAGACGACGACATGGACTTCTACGAAGAACGCGAGAAGGCCCTCAGAGCCAAGAAGGAGAACAAACCCGCGACTCTTCGCATGGATTTCTACAAAGATTCCGATTTCGATGTATGTAATCGCGATATCCCTTTCTTCTTTCGTACTTCTGTATTCAAGTTTTCTTTTTCCGAACTCTCTCTCTCTCTCTGTATTCTCACTTTTGTCACTGCAGAATGAGATCGAAGAAGAAGATAGAAGAAGAACGAGAGGAGGCAGAGAAGATGGCAGAGCCCGGACACAGGCTTCTCTCATCGATCGTACGAAGAATCTCTCGCTAACCGGCCGCCCAACGTCCGAGAAATATGGCGTAAAGAATGTCCGGGGATCAACTTAAGAAAACTCCAACCCATAGTTTCGTCTGTTTGAAGGCGTGGTAGTTTTTATTGTCGGGTACTTTTGAATATAACTGTAGGGTACAGTGCTACTTAATATAAGCCCTTTTGATATATATGAAATCGGGTAGAGTTAAATCTCATCAATCAGTCGATTAGGTACCATGATTTAATTATTTAAATTAAACGAGTTATATAATAAAAATAGGCAATACGAAAGTGTTTTTTGGAAAATTTATATATTTGATAATAAAAATATCGTTTTTTGGGTAGGTAAGGCTTTAATCCTAGGGAAAAAAAATAACAAACTGTAATGGTATAAGGCCCAGCCCAATTGGTCTTAACAAGGAAGTGAGACATAAAGATGGGGGAATCCCACATCGACCGAGGGAAGAGGCATGGGAGAGGGAGAGCGGAAATAAAAGGTGAGAGGTGGAGACGGAGCAAAGCATACCTTTCTCGGCCTTTTGGCTAAGATCAAGTGTAGTATCTGTTCTTATCAGTTTAATATCTGATACGTGGGCCATCGGCCCACAACGATATTAACTCTATTTTTTATGGGGGTGAGTCCATCACAGTAGCTTGCTACTGGGTCTCACTCGCGTCGCCCACGCGTTGCACTACAGCGAGGGCCTGGCGCACCCCGCCCAATTCTCGAATTGCAATTTATTTTTCAAGGTCTTGTAAAATAAGAAAACGAAGTTGTGTTTTTTCCTGGCACGTTTCCTTTCATAGTACAAATATGAGTCACAGCCAGTCCTGACTAGGGGTTGCACGGGCGGGTCCTTGATCTCGGTCTCATCGGGAAACCCGAGATTGGGTACTCACAAGACCCGAGAACCCGAGTGTAAAAAAAAAATCAATCAATCCAAATCAAATGAAGAATAGACTCAGATTGTGGATTCGAACAAGATTCCACCCAATTCGTCACCCAGAAAAGCAAGAACATCAATCCAAGAGCATAACTTTTCCAACTTCAAGAAAAATTCTGATTCGAAAACCTCGTCGAAACCCAATAGATAAGGAAATAATCAAGTGCATAAAATCAAACTAACAAAGTCATTGATCCTGAGTTAGTTGCTCAGGATTTTTTGGCTACAGAGTAAAAAAAAAACAAAATCCAGAAAATCAAACTAGCAAAGCTATAAATCAAACTAGCAAAGCCATATGTTCTTCTCGTTTCTGTCGACTCTTGGATTCTCTCTGTAAATCAAGTCGAAGTCGAACAGAGGAGAGAAGGAGAGCTAAGGCGGAGAGAAAGAGATGTATTTTTGTAAATATTTTAAAAAGTAAGGGTATTTTTGTAATTTCTTAATTTTATCGGATACCGCGAGATAATCCGTCGTAAAATACTTGGACTCGAACCCGTACCCGAAATTCGGGTTTTTTCGTCTCACGAAACCCGACCTATATCTCATTATCTCGTAAAACCCGAAACTCAGATACCCGTGGATCTCGTGTAAAAATGCCCTGTCCTAACAGCCAATCATAGGGGTGGACGCGGGTACTTAAAACCTGCGGATTTTCGGGTATCCGGTTTCACGGGTACTCGAAACACGGGTACCCTTTGCATAACGAAACCGAAAACGGGTTTGATAAAGCCAAAAATCTGGATTGCGGGTTCGAAGCCGGGTTTTGTTTGAACGACGACGGATACCCTCGGATAGCCGGATACGAATAAAATGACAATTATATCCCTGATATTTTGATGTATTTACAATAATTATTTAAAATATTTTATATTAAATTACTAAAATACCCTTAAAGTCAACATTTTCTAATGAATTAATTGGACGGGTTCGGGTACTCTCGGATAATCGAATTCAACGACGGGTACCCGAACCACGGGTATCCGGATTTGACAAAAACGAAAACGAGATAACGTGTTCTCAAAACCCGCGAAGACGAAGACGAAACCCGAGTACCCCACAAATTTAGGGTACCCGACCCCTAACCAATCATGTATAGAAAGAAAGCCTAAATACCATAAAGACCAAAAAGAGGATTTTATTATGGGTTGTTCCCATTAATTTGACGAATGAAATATTGATTAATCTTTTATTGGATTTTATAGTCCCCAGATCACATCCCGATTTGAAGTTTTGAAGAATCATTGTGTAATTATATCAATGGATATAAATCGAGGTGGGGTCCTGAGTCGGATCGTTTTCAGGTGATGATGTGAGTTAGAAATTTGTTTTAATCTAATTTCAAAAACGGATTCGCAGGAGATCTGAACTAGGATGGATATTTGAATATAATTGTAGGGTGCAGTTTTACTTTGCAATCTCCTCTTAACATAAAGCCCATTTGAATCCAAACCACAAAGTTGCTATATGAGCACAGATATCCCAAGCTTTTGCCAAGAACACCGTTTTCCAAACAACTGTTTGGACAAGTTCTACACTGTATGACGTGTAAATATTTCATCTCGATATATGACATCGGGTAGAGTTTAATCTCATCAATCAATCGATTAGATATCATCTTAAATTAATTAAATTAAATGAGTTATATAATAAAGTTTTTTTATAATAAAAATATAGGAAAAAACGAATTACTATTGTTTTATGGGTAGGTAAGGCTTTAATCCCAGGAAAAAAAAATTAACAAAATGTAATGGTAAAAGGCCCAGCCCAATTGCTCTTAACGAAGGAGTGGAGATAAAGATGGGGGAATCCCACATCGACCGAAGGAAGAGGGATGGGAGAGGGCGAGCGGAAATAAAAGGGGAGAGGCGGCGACGGAGCAAAGCATACCTTTCTCGGCCTTTTGGCTAAGATCAAGTGTAGTATCTGTTCTTATCAGTTTAATATCTGATACGTGGGCCATCGGCCCACAACGATATTAACTCTATTTTTTATGGGGGTGAGTCCATCACAGTAGCTTGCTACTGGGTCTCACTCGCGTCGCCCACGCGTTGCACTACAGCGAGGGCCTGGCGCACCCCGCCCAACTCTCCAATTCCAATGTTTTTCTAATTGTTTTTCGAGAGTATGAATGTGAAGTAATAAAAAGAAAACTCGTTTCATTAATAGATGTTGCGTTTCCTATCGTTGTCCAAATCCTTCGGATACTGGGATGTAAAGCCCGAAAAGAGGGTTATTTATGGGTTAAATTTTGACGGAAGAAATATTATTATCCTTTAATAGGATTCCCCAGTTCACATCCCAATATTTCCCAGTTTGAAGTTCTAATGAATCATTGTAATTATACAACGGATATATATCGAGGTAGTGTCCTGAGTCTAAGATTTTTCTAATATAATTTCATAAACGGATTCGCAGGAGATCCGAACTAGGATGAATACAATATCGAATAAATTTGTTTCGCCGTTTGCAATATAAATATCAGAAAAGACCACAATGAATTGGGCCGGGTTACAGATCTGCTATTTGGGCCCGGTTCATTGTACATGGGATCTACAGTTTGGATTAACAGATCGAGACACATTTTAGTAAAGATTAAAAAAAAAACAATTTGGGGCTGAAAAGTGCCTTCATCCGAACAATTGAACCTGCATCCAAACACCTAATTTTTAATCCCTGAGAGCGAGCGAGAGAAAGCCCTTTTGATGCTGTTTGGATGACGAGAAAATCGGAGGGAAAAATATGATGTCAAAGAGGAGAGAGAGACACATGCAAAAAGACAAACCGTACAAGTTACAACAGAAGAGGGTGCCAGTCAATTTAAAAAAAAAAACACGGAGTTGATTCAAAGGCGCTTGGTGCAGACATTTGCCACCAATTCATTCGGCCTTTACCTTCAAAGGCCGAGATTTCCCAGAAGCTGACTCCATCTGGGGGTATCCTCGTCGAATATGTAAGTGAGTGGTGAAACCAACACCCCGCTTCCTCCCACCTGCATTCACATTGTTAAGGGTTGTCAAACATTACAATCCAAAACACGAAAGGCAGGTTCTAAGGTGACGAATCCCGGAATTGTCACACCTAGAGGTAGCTGGTAGATCTACTGACGGGACACGGGATTACTAACCGCTCTCAGTTGCTGCACAGACTCGTACAGGGCCTTCTTGGGTACGCAAATGACAATCGCATAGTACTCCACCGATACTTTTCCATCTCGTTTACAGTACACCGGGCTTATTGTTGGTCCCTGCACATAACTCGGGATGCCACAATGACTTGTACAACCTTAAGAGCAAAATTTTCAAGTTGAAACCATGGGACTTATTCTGGAACTTTTACCTGCAGTCCAGATAATGACGGCTGGCTCAACACGCGCTCAGCTACTTCCTCAGCATTCGTTCCTCTCATGTTTGCAACAACCTGATGTGAAGACGTACGTGAGAAGAAACCGAAAGGGGAAATATATAGAAGGTGTCAAAGGTACAGAATGCATACAGTGAATTGACCATCCGCCTTCAGGTGGGCCTCCAATCTCTCTAGAATCTCATGCACAGTTTCCAGCGCCCCTTTTCTCTCAGTCAATGCTCTTCTGCTAGCAACTAGTACAGCCTAAAAACCAAAACAAAATCTTCAGGCATACCAAAGCCAAGAGATTCTATGCAAGATAATTCACAACTCCAGGGCAACTACTCTGATACTGTCACACCAAGAACGGTTACCTGGCTTTCCAGCACAACTCCTCCTTCGATTTCTTTCAAGTTGTTCTCCTTCAAAGTTGTTCCGCTACTCACAAGGTCTAAAATGGCATCAGCGATCCCCATCTAATAACAGCAGAAACAAATTTCACCAAAAACTGTACACAAATCTTGGCACTCAAATCTTTTTTTTTTACATAGTTCATGAATTTGCCAGATAACAAAAAGTAAAGGCTCAAACCAGGACGACACAAACAAAAGACCTCTGAAAAGGCGACACAAATAAGAGAGCAAGCTGTTCTAAATCTAATCGTTTTCATCCTTATGGAAGCTTAGACGTCTAACAATAGTACCATATCATGTTCGACAAAAATACAAAATTAGTATGCAAATGCAAATAGAGTAAATCTCACCGCAGGAGCTGCCTCCAAGGCTCCATCTGCAGTTGAAAAGACGAAATGTTTTATCCCATTATCTCTCATGAATTTTGGGCCTAACTGCAAAGACAGTTGAATTGATCTAGTATAAGATATTGAAGAGAATTTGTGTCAATCTGAAGACAACAGCCCACCAACAGAAAAACTTGTAACCATCATACATAGGTGAAGCCCGTGGCAACTCGTAAAGGTCTCTCCTCGGTCCACTGGGGCATTTGTGCTAACTCCTTCAGAGAATTTATATTCTCAAATATCCCATATTTGGGTATCTGAAATAATTTGAGATGTGCTTGGTAAAAAAAAAATTGCAATAACTAACATGTTTGACCCACAATTACAATAGAATAGAATGTACCGCAAGGGATAGTCGACAGTCTCCAAAGTTGAGAGCATCATGAACAATGATAAGATCTTCATCACCCTGGAAAGAAAACCCTAACACTCAAATTCTGATGCAAGCATGTCCCTCCAAAGATAGTTTTAAGAAATTACAGAGACATGGGAAAGAAGATATGAACTCTCATGATAAAGCTCTAGATTCAGTTTCATACAAGATAATTCAACAGTATGGCTATCGATTCAAGGCAAAGGACAGAGGAATGAAAAAGGATTAGACTCGATCATAGAATAAGCAAAAGCCACTCGCAGCCAAGATTTGATGCATAAGGTTGCACATTTATCTGTTGATCTCTATCATGAACATTGTTTTAACAATGACAACAACTAAGAGGTCCAAGAATCTTATTACGGTTTCTAAGCTCTTCAAGAGCAAGAAAAGAGAGAGACGATTTTCACCTACCTGACCATATTCACTAAAGGTGTCAAGACCAATTTTCACCTACCTGACCATATTCGCTAAAGGTGTCAAGACCAACAATACCAAGATCCAGATCTCCTGAGAGTAACTTTCTCACGATGTCTTTTGGCCGTTGAAACCAAACTTCAGTGTTGGGTAACTGGAGGAGAAAAAATATATTACCTTTAGAAGAAGATGACAAAATGGAACGTGTCTGATATAAACATGAAACCATAAAGATTATGCATATTGCATTTGCTCTAGATGGTCTACCTGTGGAATTTGAGCCACATATTGTCGAGGATTAACTTGTTTGACAAACAATTGACAATCCTTCACAAGAAACGCAAAAGGTCAGAATCAGCTATCAGATCGCAAACCATTGACAGATATGAGAAACCGAGCGATCAACATGAATCGATTCCTCTTAAGCATCATTTCAGAGAACCAAACGATCAAAATGAAGCTTTCACAATAATCCAAGAAACCTAAAATGAAACATTCGATCTTACGCAAGAGATAGCACATATGGCAGGCAAAGCCTGCACAAGCGAACCTATTAGTAAGAAATTGAAACAAAACCAGAACACTAAAATGCCTAAAGTTTCAACTAAACCTCGCAAGCAGTCCTTAGCTTCATAGCTCCAAAACAATTGAGCATCAAGCAAAATCGAGCGAATTTCAGACTGAACATGATTTACAGAAGATTTTATGAGTGGACATATCAAATGTTCCCACAAATTTCAGGTCAACCCGTTACGAAAGCTGCAGAAAAGCAGTAAGAAGAGGAGAATCTGATTCATCCAACCCAGAAACATCCAGAGACATGTTTCAAGTATCCCAAACTCAATACAAGAATGTTACAGCAGCAAAATCACTAAAAGCGCCCGAGATTATAGGCAATTTCAAATCTAGAGTGCGATTTCCCTCTAATGTCGTCCTAATTTTCTCGGGAAACAAACAGGACCGCGTCTCACCTTGAGAAGATCCAGTGTATCAGAGGCCATGCGACCCTTGCTAGGAAGACCAAGACGAATCTGGTTGCGCTCCACAACAGCGGCACCGGCAGTACCATTTTCGACGGAGCTCTGAGCGTAAGAGACGCAACACGTAACCAAAGTCAGGCATCGGCGGCGAGGTCCTCCGACGGAGACCCCCGTCGACGGCGACGGGGAGAAGGGAGGGAGTGAAGGGACGAAGGAGGAGGGGCATTGTTGTAAATTCGTAAGAGGAATCGCCATCGTGGTCACTCGAAATCAAAAGGTTATAAAAAGGTCAGCCACGCTGCCGCCGACGGCTTCGGAGAGAGAGAGAGAGATGCCGATATTAGATTCTGATGCCAATTAATGCCTACAAATATGTCAATTTTTTTCCGTTTTTTGGTGCAAACTTTTTAAAAGCTTTGTCCCATTTTTCATAATATGGAAAATAATATTTTTATAATACCAAATTTAGAGACCTAAAACTTTGGAAATGTTGGAATTAAATCAAGTGAATAATCTATATAATTATTAAATTAAATTTAATATCAAATTGATTTGATATAAATTTTAAAATCCAATTCAACATAAATAAATTACGAAAAACAATCTATATATAATTTTTTAAATAACTATTTTTATGATTAAATTAGAAGAAAATTGAATAGAAATTTTAAAAAACGAATAAATATCAAATTTTCAAACCGAAAAATATGAAAAAAATAATTGAACCTAAATTCATAATGAACAAAATTTTGATGTTGATTTCTTCTTAACGTCAAATTAATTAGCATAAATTGAAGATACCAAAAATAATATAAAAATCCAAAAAATGAACTATCAATTACAACTGACATTAAAAACCTCGGAAATAAAAAGAAGTCATGCGGTGAGCGTGGATCGAACACGCGACCTTCAGATCTTCAGTCTGACGCTCTCCCAACTGAGCTATCCCCGCAAGTATAATATGAATATTTAATAATAAAATAAGTTTCTTTAAAATTTTGATGACACCCAAAAAAACGTGGATTAATTTAATCAACTCGTAATCAACCAATTAATTAATTAAAAGATAATTACATAAAGATACCCGTGATGCTCTACACGAGGAGAAACAGAATAAAAATACCACTTTGTCTTCTTCGAATCACATTGGTTGTAGTAAGAAAATGCTAATAACATGGGAAAATAATCTCACCAATGAAAATATAGTAAAAAAGGAAAGGTGGTAAGAACGTGGAGAATAGCACGTGTTTAACTAAGAACACAATTTACCTATATTACTAACACTTTTAATTTTGTGGTTCAGTGATATTATCTACAAAGGTATATATACGTTTTAAAAAAAATAATAATTAAAATGGAACAATTATTTATTAAAATGATATCCATCAAAATCGCTTATTAAATGCAACCTTTTTATTTAGAGGAAAAAAAATATTCCAACGATACATATATAACCGATACTGTATAATTAAAATCACAACACTATGATTCCTATACAGCAACATTATATTATCTCTTCCCATGAATCCCTTTGGACCGACGACCTAACAAAAATAATCACACAAATCTCAACGCTAATACTCCCAAATTTATCAATCACAATTACAACACACTAGAATTTGTAAAAAAAAAAAAAAAAAAAAAAATCCCAGAACGCCCAATTTCATGGAGCTCTTACCAGTTGGTGTCCTCATGACATTACTCACGAGCTATTCGAATCTTCGTCTCTGCTATCATCATCATCGTCTGCACCGCTCTGCTGCGGCTGCGAGTTCTCCTCTACCGCGTTGTTGTTCATTTGATCAGCGTTCGCGTTCGCGTTTGGCCCGGGTCTGGCGTAAGCCGCGTTCAACGCAGCAAGCATCCCGAGGTTCGAATCCGACATTCCTAACCCTAGATTATGCGTCGGTTGCGGCTGACTGAGGATCGAACCCAGTTGGAGAGCACTCCCCCTGTACTGATCCATGGGAAATCTGTACCCTGTCCCCGCCACAAACTGCGCCACCGTGGCTGCTTTCGGCGGG